CACATAGCGCATAATCGTTTCCCTTGATGCGTTTGGCATTTTCTCACGTTTCTGTGTAGGGAATATGATAGCTACGAGTTCGAAGAATAATATAACCACGTAGGACTGTACCGACTGTTTGACAACTTCAATTAAACCTCTTTTTTCTGAACTCGTAACAAAAAACAAGGGTTCGCTTTTATGTAATCAACCGTCCAAAATCCCAATCCAAATAGAAACAACGTCATGCAACATTTTGGTTGCCTGACCAGTATTACCTAGTGATAAGAAATAATTTCACCTGTCAAATAGTACAAAGTATTGTGAACCACTTTCGCTCCGCTCGCTACCGCGCGCATGTCAAGGCGGGCTCCAGAAGAAATGGTGTTTTAGATGTTTACGATATATGTGCAGTGTTTGTGATATATGATCGAATATGGCCGCTCAAGAAGATGATAACCTCCTTCAGACCGACCTGTCATGCATCCACCAGCGGACACACCCCTTCCGAATTTCATCTCATGCATTTCGAAGAGCGACTTTCAGATGGAATTCTGTGTTCCAAGTGGTTTTTCGGGTTCATATGGACCACATTCACTCGAACGATTCTTCCAAACTGGGGCGTTATCTGTAACTTTTCCGTCCTAGAAAAAAGCGGAAAATGGGTTCGGCAACAGAATTACCACAAAACAAGTCCACCAATCGGCACAACTTCTTGTCGACGAATAATATCATGCTGGATAGTTTGATGACGTGACAGCTTTTCCCTAATTTCCATATGTGTAGCGTTAGTCCTATGCTCTTCCTCCCACATTTATGAACCGACAGCGATGAAGTAGTAACAATTACCTAGTTTCAATCCATCGCTAAGCTGGAATGATAAATTCGCTGACGTACTCCTGCTTCGCTAGTATCTTCGGAGATTTATGTGAATACTAAGAATTTGGGTAATGTCTGACCATCAAAAAATTTCAAAAATTCTTCCATCGGTCCTCATATGTGCACATTGCTTTTCATCTGCATTTCTTGGAAGCTTGTCGTTTTCGGGATTTATAAACTTGTACTCAGAGTCTGCTATGCAGAACTGTTCTCGTCTTTGAACTGATGTGAGTTTGCAGCTTCACGAAATTGACACAATTGACACAACACATTGACGACAATGCGAGTTTTGGTATTTTTAGCTATGTGTGGAACCAAAGCGCTTCTGCGACCGTGTTTGTCGCAGATACAGGGCATCTACTAAATATTGGCGCGTGATTTATTGACCATAGTTTACGAAGACCATTACATCTTCAGAACTTATTTCCATATATTTCATATACAGTAGAGGATAACAATACATCACTGAAGGAGGTGCTGGAACGATCTCCTTCGGCAGGTCTCATCTCCACTAATATCACTGTGGGAAGCAAAAGACTGACGTCGAGTTCCTTCCACACCTTCTCCAAGAAAGCGTCAAGGCGGTCCAAACTTCGATTTTGCTTAGAAAATACCTTCTCCTGCAAAAACCCGAGACCGCAAAATCAATTGGGTTCAAATAGGGCGAGTTGGATGGTCAAAAATTATGACCGGTAACCTGGAAAATAACTGTCGCAGAGCTCCAGCGTAGATTTTTCAGAGCGTGCAGACGCCCGGTCTTGCTGAAGAATGCACTGACGTTTGCCGGGGTCGATACAGTCCACGAATGGAACACATCACGTGAATTCGTTTTCTGACAGATCCGGGCGGTCATTCTGACGGATTTACACATGATGACAAGCGGTGTCTTCGTTTCGCAAGTAACTTCTGCCCATTCATGACAGATTTTCGATATCCGCTCTTGGCGTGCACGCGTGTCTGCTGGCCGGATCCAGCAATTGCTTGTCGTTTTGAGAATTGTGCGCCGCTCCCAGTGTGAACCATTTCTGGAAGGAAGTCGACGTCACCTTCTCCTAAAGTGATGTCAGTTGAGGCGAGATTTGAAGCCTGTACTTGCTGAAGCGAAAAAGTGATTCCTCAAGTGTTTTTATAGCGGTTCCTTGCTTAAAATAATGAAATCAACACGTATTCAGTTAATGATAGTCACCATCCGCTGTTGCTAGTTCATCATTCCAGACTGTTGGAAGTCTCTCGTCTCAAAATACCTGTCAAGACGAAGAATATATGGTATCATGGGCAATTAGTCGCCATCACAGGTAAGCACTCTTGTAGCCATGGTTGCCTGTGACAGTGATTATCATTATGAGTTTGGCAGCACGGGATGCATGGCACTTTAAAGGCTCCACCCACGATTAGGGTAGTGTTCTTTTATAAGTTAGGCTCAAAAGGAGCAGCACTCTTTGATGATGCGGTACGTTAAAATAGAAGAAACCCAGAAGTGATATCATTAGGCCCAAAACGCTGCTTAATCCGCATGGCTGCTGTTGAATTTGTAGTACGAAAAAAAAACTACGGTTTCCAAAAAATACTCTACTGGGAAGAACAAGCATTTCTTTGGAAAGTATGGTGAGGGTATGATCCTACTTATGACTCAGTCTAATACCGTATATGCTCTCGCTCCAACGTTATATTCTCTGCCCATCATCCCTCATTTCTCTGTCATGGACTCCGCCACAGCGTAGAACGAGGATGTAAATTTCTTACTTCTTAGGATGTTTCGGCAAACTCACTGTGTCCTGGTATCGCAGTATAACGCTCCTGCATCTCCTCAGCAATCGGGAGTCCCGGTTGCACCAAAAGCCCGAAAGTGTATTGGCTGCTAACTTTAGACCGCAGGCAGTATCTTCAATTGCTATTTATATGTTTGATACTTGCTAATGAGTAATCGGCTAGCTAGGTAAACCAAAACATAGACATTCTGCACTCATATTGCGCTTCTAAGTGAAAGAAGGCAACGTAATGCGCCTCCGTACCTCGAAATATTCAAATTTATATGAAATACCAGTTATCGTGAAACCAAATAATAGCAGCATTTTGCTGATGCCTATTGATCCTATTGATACATGAAACCAACAATCACATGAGAAGAGTTGTCGGGCACAGATCCATTTTTCTGTGAATCAGATATCGGGTCGACTTCCATACGAAAATCGCGTACACTAATGCGGTTTGAAATATCTTATGAGCTACTACATGGTCGTCAAGCCACCAAAACAAATTAATCGTTTGTCCGTCCACATAAAACTCGGAATTCACAAAGAGTCATGGCAACCTGCACGATCAAGCTGGTGCGTAACTGCTAATTCAATTAGAGTAGCGTGGAGGTATGATGAAAAAGAGAAAAAATAACCAAAATAAAAAATTAATCCGGTTCTACTCTGTGGACAGTTCCACGACAAGACATGAGGGGAACTAGGCTGTGGGGATTTAGTCGCATATACATATTCACTGAGTCTAAGACTGTCTCATTTTTTCAACCTCACCATACTTTCCGAAACAGCAATGCTGTTCTTTCTTTACTGCCTTCAGTTAGTCAGACTTTTTGAACCGTTGATTTTCTTCACTACTACAAATTCAACATCCAGCCATCAGCGGTATGAGGGCAAGCGTTTGAGCCCCTACATGACCATCACTTCTGGTTTTCTACTAACGCATTTCGCTATCGCAATAAAGAGGGTGCTCGCTCCTTCCTTGAGCGCTACTTACTAAAAGATTCACTCTCTAATCGTGGGTTGAGCCTTCAAACGCAGCATCTCACACTGCTGCTAATCTCATACATCAAATAATCACATTCATAGCAACGCAATACTACAAAGTGCTCTACGTTGGATGGCGACTAACTGCCCACTGGAACCATACTCATTCTTCATCTTGACAGGTATTTTAGACGAATGATTCAATATCTGCGCATAACTCTCTCTCTCGGCTGCTT